CCCTAGATGTGGCGAGAGGCCCCCAAGATGGCCCCCGAACAGCCCAGTGTGCGCCAAGAGTGCCCGAGGACTCCCGACCACCATGACAATCATCAGCCTCACCATTACCATGGCAAGCCTTCTCTTCTCATCATCACCACCACTCCATCATCATCGTGATCACCCTCATCATTTATCATACTTCTCCTCCTTTTCCTCTTTCTACTCCTCCTTTTTCCCCCTCAGGTTCTTCTAGCCTCTCCTCCTCCTCAAGCCTCATCCTCATCTTGTCCTCCTCCTGCTGCTGCTTCGCCTCCTCATCCTCATCGTTCTCTTCCTCCTCCTCCTCCTCCTCCTCCTCCTCCTCCTCCTCCCCCGCCTCCTTCTTATCCGCATCGTTCTTATACTCATCCTCCAGCACCTCCTCCTATCATGTTGCTCCTCCTCCTCCGCGTCCTCCTCGTTCTGATCAAGCTCGTCCATCGTTCTCTTCCCCATCCCGCTCGTCCCCCTCGGCCTCATCAATAATTATCCTCTTCATCATCAACCTCGTCCGCATCAATATTCCTCGTCCTCTTCCCATCATGTTCCTCCTCGTGCTCGTCCTCCTCCTCCTCCTCCTCCTCCTCCTGATCCTCATCATCGTAATCCGCATCGTCATCGTCGTCATCACCGTCGTCGTAGTCGTCGGCATCATCATCACCATCATCATCATCATCATCATCACCACCATCATCATCATATTCATTATAACCATCGTCCCCTTCGGTCGCCTCATTCCTCCTCCTGCTCTTCCCCTCCTCCTCCTCCTCCTCCTCCTCATTCTTCTCCTCCTCCGCCTGATCATCAGTATTATTATCACTATCATCATCATCGTCGTCATCATCATCAGCATCAGCATCAGCATCATCATCAACATCATCATCATCATCATCATCATCCGCATCATCATGATCATTATCATCATCATCATCATCATCATCATCATCATCATCATCATCAGCTTTATCATAAGCATCATCATCATCATAGTAATCATCAGCATCAGCATCAGCAGCATCATCATCATCATCAGCATCATCAGCAGCATCATCAGCATCTTCCTCATCCCGCCCGTCGCCCTCGTTCGAACCAACCCTCCCACTCATTGACCTCGTCCGCATCAATATTCCTCCTCCACGTCCCCGCATGCTTTTCCCCTCCCGCTCCTTATTATCATCCGTATCCTTATCATCCTCATCATCATCGTCGTCGTCGTTGCGGCCATCCCCATGATTCATCATCACAATCATTACCATCGTCACCATCAGCAGCAGCATCAGCATCAGCATCATCATCGCCATCAACATCATCATCATCACCATCAGCATCATCACCATCGTCCAACTCATCATCCTCCTAATCCTCGTCCTCCATAGTTATCCTCTCGCTCCCCCTTCTCCTCTTCCTCCTCCTTCTCCTCCTCATCCTCCTACCCACATCCAATCCACATCATAAGGAGGCGTGGTAAAGATGCAAGAGCCTTGGAGGCCCAGGGTACCGCTTTTGCGAACGAGGTTGGGCAGCGAAAGTCGCCAAGCATGGACCGTTGGGCAAAGATGCAAGGGCACCCTTTGGAAGGCTGCCCATCCTTACTATGCGAAATGACTGTGCCTCAAGCGGCGGCGCGCGCGGGAGAGAGCCCGACAACGACGACTACGACGACGACGACGATGACTGACGACGACAATCATCCTCGTCGTCCTCCTCCTCCTCCATTTCCTCTTCCTCCTCATCCTGGGGTTTGATGTTTTGTGTTTTGGGGTTGGTGTTGGTGTTTGGGGCTCGGTGTTTGGGGTTTGGTGTTTGGAATTTGGTGTTTGGTGTTCGGGGTTTGGTGTTTGGTGTTTGCGGTTTGGGGTTTGGTGTTTGGTGTTTGGTGTTTGGTGTTTGGTGTTTGGTGTTTGGAGTTTGGTGTTTGGAGTTTGGGGTTTGGGGTTTGGGGTTTGGTGTTTGGGATGTGGCGCTTGGGGTTTGGGGCTTGGGGTTTGGTGTTTGGTGTTTGGGGTGTTTTTTTTGTTGGGGGTGGGGAAACCTGAAGAGTCTCACCCGGAGAACCAACCGACTCGTCATTTGGCCACTCTCACCCGGAGAACCAGCCCTTTTCCCGGGGAACCACTTCTTCTCCCGGAGAACCACTTTTTGCCCCCTCTGTGTGGGCCCCTCGCCGTCACGGCCGGATCCGCCCCGGAACTCGGGCCAGACAGCACCACAGGGGATGTCCGAGGGCCTCCTTCGAAGGAGGGCCACGACCCCCAACGAGTTCGGGTCAGTCTCTTGCGCAACTGTGCTCTAGAGCTCTGACCTCTTTCTGTGCGTCGTCGTCGTTCGTTCGTTCGTCGTTCGTCCTCCCCCCCCCCCGGCGGCCACGGAAGGAAACTCCTGGGGGAAGGAGGCGATTGCCTAAGCCTCCTGTCCCTCTGGTGCAAGAGCCAGGGCACGCGTGCCACTTGTTATTGTTTTCCATCTCGGCCTCTCCGAGCCCAAGGGCCCTCTGGGAGCGACCCAGGACAAAAAAGCTGCCCGTGCGCCAAGAAACACACACATATACTAGAAGAAGACAAAACGCCATAACCAGAAACTTTTGGCGCTCCGCGCG